ACTCCTCATATCTACATTAGAGTAAGGCGACCAGACGTCCCGATTTTTAACAATTTGTCCCATGTCCCGCAGCGTTTTTAAAAAAAGTCCCAATTTTTGGAAACTGTTTTAAAATGCCGCGGGACGCGGAACAAATTGTTAAAAATCGGCACTGCCCCACCAAAAGCGGGACGTCTGGTCACCTTACCTTAGGGAGTCACTTTTAGACTGACTTTAAAACACATGCTCTAACATTTGCGTCACTGGAGAAGACAGTATTGTAGTTAACCTGAAAGAGAAGGATTCTCACACAGTTTAGGATAGAATAGAAATATTCCTATTCTCCTACGTTAGTGAGAACCTGAAGTTTTCTCTCCCCAGCAATTCGTAAGGGCGGTTGGCATTCGGAAGTGGAGAAGGACCTAGTTTTGAGGATGACGTATGTAGTGTGGCATGTTGCTCTTCTGCAAGAGGAAAGTATACTTAAAAAACAAAACAAAAAACAAAACAAAAAAACCCACAAACAATCACTCAACATTATTGGGAATTCCCACTGTAATGATTTGAGATACAACAAACACACTAATCTGAAGTTCTCTTTTAGGAGGCTTCACATCACTTAAATCCATCCATTCTCTCAACATCAAGCACCTGCGGCATAGCAGGCACTGTTGTAGGCACCAAGGAGGCAGCAGTGAGCCCTGCTCTCCTGCAGTTAACATTCTACTGGGGAGAGACAGGTAGCAAAGGAAGAAATATGTATGTGATGTGTCTGAGGGAAAATGAAACTCGCTCAGAGGAGGGAAAATGACAGGCTGCTATTTTATGAGGATAATAATAATGGTAATGAATTTGGGTGATATTAGAGCTGAGACCAGAAGGAAGAGAGTCTGTAATGGGATAATGTAGAGGAAGATCCCAGATGGAGGGAACAGCAAGTGCAAAGTTTCCCAAGTAGAAACTTGCTTGGTATGCTAAGTGTGTTTTTGAAGATCAACCAGAAGGCCAGCGTGGCTGCAGCAGAATAAGGAAGAGTCCAGTCGTAAAGGTCAGGAAAGGACTCTGGAGTTTAAGCTTGTTGGGAAGCAAGTGGAAGATTCCTGGCAAGAAAGTGGCCTGATCTGACTCACCCAAAGGATCATCTGGTGGCGGTGTGCATCACAGATTATAAGCAGCAAAGTGGGAAGGCCCATTCACCAAAAGTACCGCAGGAATCCAGGCAAGAAAAAGCAAACTGAACCCGAGTTGTACAGGTGGGGGTGCTAGAAAGTATGCAGGCATAGTTTTTAATGTAGAGCCGCATGACCTGCTTAAGGACCAGAGAGAACGTTACCCACCATATTTGTGGTACAGCCAGAATCTTCCACAAGGCCTTCTGGTTCTCAACCTACCGCGACACATCACACCAAACTCTCCTTCCCCCACGGAATATCAGTGTTTAACTTCTTAACATCCTGTGAACTATTCCTTCCAAGGAATATGTTTGAAGTGTTCTCAATATAGAAACAGCCCTCTCAGAACCTATTTCATAAACCATGAAATACAAGCAAAAAGTGCTGTGTGTGAAGTAGTCATGACGTTTACACTCTGGCAACTAGTTCAGAAGTGTCAGAGACAGCAATGATATCGGGATGCGCATTATACAGATAATACATATTCATTCTCAATTATTGGGTGTTAACAGACAAAGACATCCTTTGGGTGTGCATAGCTGGGTAAAATACTCAACTTATTTGTAGTTAGTCAGGAAACTTTATATATATATATATATATATATATATATATATATATATTGCTATGAATAAACATCAATCTGGTCCTTGATCTGTCAGAATTTACATTCTACCTTTCACCAAACTAGGAATTAAAAATCCAATGTTTCAGACAATACACTAGACATGGAAAACAAAAATGATCTCTTTTCAAGTATACAACAAAAACAAATGAAAGACATTTCTTTAAAAAAAGAACCAAATTTTTTAAAATATATTTTATTGATTTTTTTTGCCCCCCTCCATCCCTCCCATACATACCCTCCCTCCCCAGAGTTTTATGTCCATTAGTTGTACTTATATGCATGTATACAAGTCCTTCGGTTGATCTATTATCTCCCCCAGATCTTCCTCCCCTCCCCACTGTAATTTGACAGTCTGCTTGTTGCTTTACTGTCTCTATATCTATCTTTTGGTTCATCAGTTTATAATGTTCTTTATTATCCATAAATGAGTGAGGTCATGTGGTGTTTCTCTTTCATTGATTGGCTTATTTCACTCAGCATGTTCTCCAATTCCATCCAGGTTGCTGCAAATGATGAGAATTCCTTCTTTTTTATGGCAGCATAGTATTCCATTGTGTAGATGTACCATAGTTTTTGGATCCAGTCATCTGCTGACGGGAACCTAGGCTGTTTCCAAATTCTGGCTATTGTAGATTGTGCTGCTATGAACATAGGGGTGCATATATCCTTTCTGATTGGTGTTTCTAGTTTCTTGGGATATATTCCTAGGAGTGAGATTACTGGGTCAAATGGGAGTTCCATTTTCAGTTTTTTGAGGAAACTCCACACTGTTCTCCACAGTGGTTGTACCAGTCTGCATTCCCACCAGCAGTGCATGAGGGTTCCTTTTTCTCCGCAACCTCGCCAACACTTGTTGTTTGTTGATTTGTTGATGTTGGCCATTCTGACAGGTGTGAGATGGTACTGCATTGTTGTTTTGATTTGCATCTCTCAGACAATTAGTGACTTTGAGCATGTTTTCATGTGCCTTTTGGCCTTCCTTCTGTCTTCTTTTGAAAATATTCTATTTAGGTCCATTGCCCATTTTTTAATTGGATCATTCCTCTTCCTTTTATTTAGTTGTATAAGCTGTCTGTAGATGTTGGAGATTAAACCTTTATCAGTGGTGTTATTTGCAAATATGTTCTCCTACACCATGGGCTTTCTTGTTGTTTTGTTGATGGTTTCTTTTGCTGTAAAAAAGCTTTTTATTTTGATGTAGTCCCATTTGTTTATTTTCTCTTTAGCTTCCATTGCCCTAGGGGCAGTATCAGTGAAGAAGTTCTTTTGGCATATGTCTGAGATTTTGCTGCCTGTGGATGCTTCTAGTATTTTAATGGTTTCCCGTCTGATGTTTAAGTCCTGTATCCATTTTGAGTTTATTTTTGTGTATGGTGTAAGTTGGTGATCTAGTTTCATTCTTTTGCATGTGTCTAAAAGAACCAAATTTTTAAAAACCGAGGGTACCTGTCGAAACTACTGATCACGTAATGCAAAACAGAACAACCAGATCTGGAATTGTCAGGGCAAGGTTTCCTGGGTGGGAGAGCATGGGTTTTAATGAATCAGATTTGGCAGGTAGAATATTCCGGGCAAGGAAAATACAGCTAAAGAGTAGAAGCAAGTGAGCCACAGACCGAGTCCACACCCAGGTGTAACAAGACCGGATTATTATTAGCTAAGGGTGGAGGAGGCAATTAGAGGAGATCTGCAACACAGGCCAATTGACATATGAGAAGAATAAAAGTGATCAAAACAAAACGTTTAAATGTTTTTTGTTGTTTTGCTGCCTATTATAAATGGGTGCCAATGAAGACAGGCTTTCACATTCATACATCTCTCAACATTCATCCGTCTATGTCAACATGTGTATTAAGTACTTTTAATACCCAACTTTTTAAAAAGTCAAGATATGCTAAGTAAAAGCTTTCCTCCCCCGGCCAGGTGGTTCAGGTGGTTGGAGTCTCCTCATAAACCAAAATTACAGATCCGGCAAGTGATAAAACAACCTCTCTCTCTCTCCCTCCCTCCCTACCTCCCTCCCTTGCTCTCCTTTTTCTCAAATCACTAAGCACATCCTCGGGCAAGGATTTTTTTTTTTAAGTTTCCCCCCCCCCCCCAAAGAAAACTGATCCAAACCGCAGATTATGCATCAGTTCACAGACAAAAGCAAAGGAGAGATGAGCGGTTTTCCATACCCCTCGCTCTTTTAAATCGGGAAGACAATGCTTAAATGGATGAGATCATGCCTTTTAAAGTGCTTTAGTAAGCTGTCAACAATTTACAGTTATTGTCTTGACCTTCGATCTCTCTCAAGTCACGCGGCTCCTGCTCTCTCATTTGCAGCGATGGGACACAGGTGGCCCCTGCAGCTCCTGCCAGCCCTGCCAGGAGCCGGCATGGAACACACATCTGCCGAACAAAGTAAACGGTCTCTCCTTGGCCTGGCTGAGCGCCCACCGAGAGCCAGCACGGAGGGAGGGAAGGCAGGATCGGCCCGGGGACCCACACGCCGGGGTGTGGAGGTAGAAAACATTCGCGCTCCTCATCGGGGACCCATAGGCCAAGGAAGCCCTCCAGTCGAGGTTCGCGATCTCGGCCCCACGGAGCCAAGTCCACTCGCCTCTCTCGCCAAACCCACAGGCGGTCTTCACAGCTCCCGCCCCGCCCGCGCCGGGAATGCCTCTCCCAGCCCAACCCACCGAGCCCCGCCCCCGCCCCCGCCGGCGACACGGACACACCCCTTCCGGTGTAGGCCCCGCCCGCCCGCGCCGGGAACGCCCCTCCCAGCCCAACCCACCGAGCCCCGCCCCCGCCGGCGACACGGACACGCCCCTTCCTGCGCAGGCCCCGCCCCCGCCCGCCCCGCCGCGAGCTCGGCTGCGGGTCCTCTCAGCGCCCGCCCCGGCCGAGTCCACCCTCGACGCTCTGAGGTCACCGACGGGGCCGGGCTGCAGGGGGCGGAGGGACGGAGGGAAGATGGCGGCCGCGGCCGGATATTGGCGCCGCCTCCCCCAATCCCGGAGCCGGCGCAGATGAGGCGGGTCGGCTGGGGCGAGCGGCGCTTCGGAACCCGAGCTGTGGGGGGACGCAGGCGGCGGGGCCCGGCCCTGCTCGATGCCGGCGCCTCGGCGAGAGTGAGCGGCGCGGCGGCGGCGGCGGCGACCCCTCTGGGCGCCGGCTCTTTCCCGGTGGCTGGCGAGCGTCCGGGCGGGCGGCGGGCGGCCGGGGCGGCGGGGCCGGGATGGAAGACGTGAACTCCAACGTGAACGCGGACCAGGAGGTGCGGAAGCTGCAGGAGCTGGTGAAGAAGCTGGAGAAGCAGAACGAGCAGCTCCGGAGCCGCTCGGGGGCCGTGCAGGGCGCCGGCTCCCTCGGGCCCGGGAGCCCGGTCCGGGGCGGTGCGTCCACTCCCTCCTCCTCGGGCGGCGCGGCGTCCCCGCGGGGCTTCCCCCTGGGCCTCGGCGGCAAGCCGGGCGGCGGAGGCGGCGGGGCCGGGCCGGGCCCGCGGCGGACGAGCGGCGAGGACCTGCGGGACGCCGCCTGCCTGCTGGCGGCGGGCGAGGGCGGCTTGCTGGACGAGGTGGAGCCGCTGCGGCCCGACGAGCTGGAGCGCCTGTCCGGCTGGGAGGAGGAGGAGGAGAGCTGGTGAGCGCGGGGCGCCGGCCGGGGCGGCTGGGCGGGGCGGGCCGGGGCCCCCGAGGTGCGGGCTCCCCCCCTCCCGGGGGGCAGGACACCTCGCTTTCGGGTCGCCGGACCCGCTCCGGACGGGGACTCGCGGCTTTTCTTGCTCTGCCTGGGAAGAAAGGTCAGCTGGAGTTGGGGGTTCGAGGAGCTAAGTTCTCCTCTGGGTGATGGACCCTCCGGGGTGGCGGGTCCCCGTTGGGGTCCGTGGGTTGGCACGGCCGGTGGGAGGAGACGGAGGTGGGAACCTGCTTTGCAGGGAGGAACCCCGCTTTGTGTGATATGAAACGCTATTTTCGGGGATGGTGATGGTCTGGGCATCTTGTGTGGTCGGGGAGGGGGGGGTCTGCTCGCGGAGGTGTCACCGGGGGGACAGGGGGCTGGGCTGGGCGTAGCGGTCCCACTGGGTGCAGCGGCCAGCGCCTTGGATGGAGGGGAGCGCCCTTTGGGTGGTGGGGTGAAGCTTTGCTTTGTGTGGAGGGAGCCGAGGACCGTGCTGCTTTGTGTGGCGAGTCCAGGGTGGGACTCTTAGAGCCCTGGCTCTTGTTTTTTTTTGTTTGTTTGTTTTGTTTTGTTTTGTTTTTTAAACAAGAATGGGGTTTGGCATATATATTGGAGCTGGACAGTGATCACATCTATCTGTTCTTTCCATTTTTGAATAGGGTTCTTGGAAAGCCAGAGCTGTGTTTTCATAAGCCAACTTCTCGATAAAATTGTGAGGCCCACGCTGTCAGATCACTTCCATAAATAGAAAGGACTTAGGAGGCGGTTTCCCTCCTGTTTTATCGCAACCGCATAAAGATGTCCGCGGGAAATCCTTTCTCCGAATGCACCCTTTCGCAGTGTTTTCACTTTTACCCGAAATGTTTCTACTCTTGGTTGGAACTGAAACTTCTGAGTGAGTGAGGTCCAAGTCCTCCGTGGCCTCTGGCATTGCAGGGCCACAACTTTGCAGCGCGCGGAGGCGGTCAGAGCTTTGTCTGGATGCAGGCCCTGGCTCTGCCACTTACTGCTTGTGTGACCTTGGGCAAGTTACTCCGACACTTATTTTCTTTCTCCGTTTGATGGAAGAAATCATAGATCTGAACGCTAGGCACAGTTGTGAAGATTAAAATAATCCGTGTATGCTTTTAGCACTGGGTCTGACATATGGTAAACTCTTCCAAGCCTAGCTGCTCTTATACTCTTAAGCTTCGTTATTTAAATCAAGAAATGTTTACAAGATCTTGCGGGCGATTCTAAAGTTTCTTAAAAGTTGATCCCTGTTCATGAAGGCAGTTCCAGGCTTGTTGGGAGCCAAGTTGTATGCAGTTAAATAACCTGGGCGTATACGGAGAATTGCCAAAAAGAGTGATAGGAACATAAAGTACTGAGAGTGTTCAGAAATTGGGGAAGAGTAGTAGTCCAAAGTAGTTGAGGCAAACTTGAAGGACGAGAGGTGGCTTCGGAGGGAGGGAGAGTGGGAAGGAAACTCTGCTCTGACAGCTGCTAGAGCAGAGTCAGAGACACTAGTATTTGTAACTCCCGATTAGGAAGGTTAGAATTACAGAGGTACTCTTGAATATATGATGCCAAGCTTTTACTTTATTGTTAAGTGATAACAAATGTTATCAGAACTGACTGTGATATTGACAGTTTTTCATATTAGTGTGAAAATCACGTCCTCCCAAAGGGATGTTGGGTATCTATACACTTTAAAAGAACCCGGAATCATCTAAATATCATCACATGCCTCTTCCAAGTGATGATAATAATGAGGACTAGATGCACTCATCAGCCCATTTTAGATTATGTATTATTAGAACACATGGCTCCACCTTGAGAAGCTGATTAAGTCGTGCAGCTTTGGTTTCTGAGTATGGGTTTGTTGAGGTAAAGCAAGTCTTTTTAAATACTGTGCCAGAAGTTTCTTTTGACAGAGTGGTTCCTGCTTATTGCTTTGAATCCTGGCTACATTTTTTTTTTTTTTATTGTAGCTGCTATGTATGTCTTATACTTTTTCTGAAAAAAGTATATGCCTTATACTTTTTCTGAAAAAAATTGTGTGAATTGAAAGTTTGATAAATATGTCTAAAGCACTTTGGGATGTGTGTTTGGGAATATAAGTTGGAAAGGGTAGGTGTTAGTGGCAAGGGGAGGAAGATTCAGAGTCAAGAGTTTTTTCCTTTCTTAGTAAGCTAAAAATCTACTTTCTGTAACTTTTACCCATTGTACCTTCTTTTTTATTTAGAGAAATGTTTTACCCTCCAGTGTATACCATATAATGCCAATCCTGAATGTGTCAGTAGATATTGTGTGAATAAATAGTGATGATCTGAGATTAAATATATATGGGGAAATCGAGGTTCAACAAAAAGGAACAGGTTTTTTAAATTCTAAGCTTTTGATATGCGAATATATTTTGAATATAGTAAATTTCTAAGTGCTATGGTTCCCTAAACTTACTTGAGCTCCTAAGGAACTAGTATCTATAGATCATATTTAGAAAACAGTGCTCTAGAGCAGTGTTTCCCAAACTTCTCCCATGATGAGAATCACCTGGTGGAGTTGTTCAACTACAGATTCCTGAATCCCAACTAAGAAGTGCTGAACTAGAATTTTTGGGAACAGATAGGTAAAATTGTATACTTAGCTCGTGCTCTAAGCTTAAATAACTAGTTAGTATACAATTTTACCTATCTGTTCCCAAAAATTCTAGTTTAGCACTTCTTAGTTGGGATTCAGGAATCTGTAGTTGAACAACTCCACCAGGTGATTCTCATCATGGGAGAAGTTTGGGAAACACTGCTCTAGAGCACTGGCTTTCACAACTTTTTTTTTTTTTCCCCAGCTTCAGTATAAACACATTTTACATCATAGTACACACATGTATATGAATAATTGAAGCAACATTTTCGTACAACTATAGTTATTTTTAGTACATATGGTACTCTCTAATATTTTCTGTTCTTTTTCTTTAGAAAAAAGCTTGTTACAACCAGCAACGCTGATTTTATGACCCATTAATGGATTGTAATTCTCAGCTTGAAAAACACTATTCTAGAACAAGTAGGAAAAATGGGGAGAAAGGTACTAACATCATTTTATATCAGTGTGTCAGCCTATCGTAGGCAGCTTATAAACATTTTTACACTAATTTTTATCTGTTTATTAGGTAGGTATCAAGATCTAGGTAAGGAAATGTAATCTTTCTCTTAAGCATCAAATGACACACAGTAAATGATGGAATCAGGATTTGAAACCAGGTCTTTATGACATCAAAGCCTGTGCTGTTTCCACTACTGTTTGCCTTTTTCGATATATCTTTTCCACATGAATGATTCCTTAAAATATTTGAAGACTACTATCATGATCCTCTAACACCTTCTCCCTAGAATGGTACTCAGCATTTTAAATGATACTTGACCAAACAGTGTGTTAGATATAATTGCTTGAGCTAAATGCTATTATTTTGAAACCAAATATTTAATTAACAGTTTTACATTCTGTTTCTTGTTTAATATGAGCCTGTCAGGTCAGATACACTCTATGTTTTGTCATGATATTCCACATTGACAGTATTTCATTTCTTTTCCATTATTTGGAGGGGTATGCCTAAACTTTTTTCAGGCTTATTCTCATGATCTTGTCTCAGTTGATCAATTTCCTTTGAATAATGTTTATTGGGCCTGTCCATTTGAACAAATTATTGGCAGAAAAACAGAAGCTAAAGAAGAATATTTCTGCCTATTCTTTGGCATCTAGTATCAATGCATATTTTGCTACAATCTTCTTGTGTTAACCCTCTCAATGTAATTTTTTTTAAATATAAATTTTTTAAATATATTTTTATTGATTTTTAGAAGAGAGGAAAAGAGGAAGAGAGAGAGAGACACATTCATCAGCCGCCTCCTGCATACCCTGCCAGGGATTGAGCTGAAACCCAGGCATGTGCCCTGACCAGGAATCCATAGGCAACCTTTCGTTGTATGGGACGACACCAAACCAACTGAGCTATACCAATCAGGGCTCAATTAATTTTTTTCTCTTTAAGTTTTTATTTGTTGAGATAAAATTCACACACAATAAAATTTACAGATTTCAAGTGTAATTCACTGATTTTTAGTATATTTGCAAAGTTATGTACTTGTTTCCACTGTGATTCAGAACATTTCATCATTCCCACAAAACAAAGTTCTCAAAATGGATGGCTGCACAACAATGTGAATGTACTTAATGCCACTGAACTATACGTTTAAAAATGGTTAACATGGTAAAGTTGGTAGTGTGTATATTTTGTCACGATAATACGGATTAAAGACCTAAATGTAAGGTCAAATATAAACCTTTTAGAAGAAAACACTGGAGTAAATCTTATGATCTTATATTAGCAGAGGTTTGTCAGATATGATTCTAAAAACACAAGCAGCAAAAAGAAAGAATAGATAAATTGGACTTAATATTAAAAACTTGATGTTTTTAATATTAAAAAGGCTTCATCAAGAAATTGAAAGAAAAGAACACACATAGAGAAAATATTTGTAAATCATCTCTCTCATAAGGGATTAGTATCTAGAATATATCAACTCTTTCATCTTAAAGTAAAAATAGGTAACTCAGTTGGAAAATGGACTGATAGTTTGAACAGACATTTCTCCAAAGAAGACATACAAATGGCTAATAAATACATGAAAAGATGCTGGTCATCATTAGTCATTAGACAAATGCAAATTAGAACCGCACTGAGATATTAGCACATGGCTTTATAACAAAAAGACGGATAACAAGTGTTGGCAAGGATGTGCAGAAATTGGAACCCTCATATGTTGCTGGTAGGAATATAAATGGTCTAGCCACTGTGAAAAATAGTTTGGCACTTTCTCAAAAAGTTAAACATGGAATTACAATTTTACCTAATAATTCCACTTCTAGGTATATAACCAAGAAAATGGAAACATCCATATAAATAAATACTCATCACAGCA